GGCTGGGGAATTCTGGGAGTTGAAGTCCACAGGTCTTAAAGTTGCCAAGGTTGAGAAACATTGGCTGAGACATTTATATGGCCACCCACCTTAAGCAAATAACTCTGGGCAGATAACAACAAATACAGAACCCAATACCAAAACAGAGCAGAAAAACACAATTCAAAGCAATCATAATAAAATACAAGAGATGTTTCACAAGCAATTCACATGCTCCAAAACATGCATATTGGGGTCCACGAGCAGCCTGGCTCTAAGGGAAAAGCCAGATTTTTCAGCAGGGAATATAAGCCACACTCATTTAAGCCTTTAATAGACTTAATGCACGTTATAAAACATTAACATCTCCTGTGAGAAGAAATTGGGAAGGCCCTACAAGTCCTGCTCTCTTTTATCATCTCTTACAGTACTGTCATTGTCCTGTCTATACAGGTCTTAGCGGCAGAAAATTATTATTTTTAAAGCACGGCCCCTAAAGGTTACTCAATGCTAACATAGACAGACCCCCAAGTTTTAGCAGCTGTAATGGGCAGAAGGAATAACTTAGAGGAACAGGAGGAAAAGCCAGAACCAAGACAATGGTCAGATAAGAGAAATCTGAGTCCAAGCCAGAACTGTAACCTGAGAAGGCGTCTCAGACAAGACCCTCCCTAGTTCTCACAAAGATAAAGGGAGGGAGGGGGGAAGCACATACAGACTTGTTTTGTTATGCAACCCTATACGAAAAGTAATATTAGCATTCATAACTCTGGTGTCCTAGTCTGGTCTACCTTGAAGGGCTGACAATAGCTCTTCTGGCTGAGCTCCTAATCATCAGCTCTCCCCATACTCTCTATAGAAGTAGTAATAAAAAAGTATATGAGGGGACATCCACTGAGGATGGGTCAAAAAAGCCAAAATGGCAGCTGTGACCGCACCTCTGAAGCCCCACCCCTTTTTACATGCACATGTAAAAAAGGGTGGAGCGTTGATTGTATGGTGCAGCTCCATCTTGACTTTGGTGACCCCCTCCCCACAGACGCCCTTGATACAGGATCATCGGATTCTTTCCCCAGCAGCAAATATTAAGTAGAATCTTCCTACATTGACCAGATACCCAAGCTGAAGGGAACACATTAAAGGAAAATGCCGTTCTGCCATATCAGGGCTGGTTGTGCCATCTCGTCCTTTTTACTTCCTAAAATGTCCTATTTCTGTAAAGAGGGCAGAAAGCCAGTTATGGGCCTTACCCTGGAAAAGTCAGAAATCTTTCTGGGCAGCAGCATGCTGCTCTATAAAGATTTGATTGATTGATTGATTGATTGATTGATTGATTGATTGATTGATTGATTCTGGGCAGCAGGTACCCTCGCATGATTTCCTGCAATGTGGCAGGCACCAAGTGTTAAAACAAGAATGAATTCAGTAAAACGTCCTTTGCATTTTTTAAAATTAAAAACGGCCCAAATCTCATGAGCATTTGTGCAGAAAGCCACAGATCTCAGGAGACTGGGCTATTGCATGGGATTTGGGCCATTTTTTAATGAAAATGGGTGTCATTGTGACGTATAATTTGGGAAGTCCATGGAGGCCATCTAGAGGTGTCACAGGCATCATGGGTCTTGAAGGGGCTGCATTGCATCTTCCCAACCCCTGCGAGAGTAGGCTGAAACTGCCCTAACCTGAAGATGAAGTAGGCACTAAGTAGAAGAGGATAAAAACCCAGGAATCTTGTCTAAAACATCTCATTGGGGAGGTAGGTAAGAAGGAAACAAGTCATTAAGGAAACAAGGGAAAAATGCCATCTGAACCAGACAAAGGAAGCTGGGCCTGAGGACGTGAACAGAGAAAAAAAATCCTATCAGTCAACAAAGCAAGAACTGAGCTTGGTGGTTTTCTTGCAGACATTTCGTTACCCAACTAGGTAATAG